TGACACACCTCTCCCGAACTCCCTAAAGGCCGATCTGAGCTTCGACATCCAGGCCTCATTGAATATCTGCTTGCATGCTTCAGCCTTGCCACTAAGATGTCCACCAATGTGCTTCATCCCCATACAGCTTCATCGCATTGGTCGGTGATCTATGACTCCCTTTTTCTGCGCGCAAAGCAGCATTATCAGGAACGGTTTATCATCTTTGAGTTAGTCCCCATGCAGTTTGTTCTGACCGCGTCGGCTCACCATTTACTAGATCCTACCCCCAATGGAACCTGCATAGGAACTTCCGTTCTGTCCGTTCGAAGACGGGGAGACCTTTACTTGACGAGATCCGTCCAAGCTGTGCTTTGTCGTACCGCCTTATTCAAGATCAAGTCTTCTGCGGAAATGCAAGGCAGATATAGACCATCTGAAGCCGGAATTACCGTCAAATGCTTGGTATCCTACATGACTGGATGGAATATGTGGAGATTCCGGTGATGGTGGCCGAATACGTTTTGGTACCCGACGATGCCGACGAGAAAGCTAAGCATATTGCGCATCTCGCTATGACAATGCGATCGGCCTTGCACTCTGGGAGATCCATTGCCTAAGGGTCCCGTCATTGGTTTTCTGATGGAGCGTAACATTGTCGAGACGAAGTTGGGCTGGATAGACGATGACGGCAAGGTATGCTTCTCAAGCGATTGGATGAGATCGTAGACTGACATTACCATAGTGCATAATCCGTGACGCCCCAGAGTACAGGTTTGACCTCATGGCTCCTAACGAGACGTTTCGACTGTTCAACTTCTTGAAAGCCTATTGCCAGGAGCCTTCCAGGGCTCAGCTGGAACGGAAGGTGGAAGAGCATGCAGCGCAGGCCATAGCCAGACTATGTGAACCGACTTATCAAATGTGGAGGGACCTACCTGATGACGAGTATGGCCAAGAAGAAGAAGAAGAACGGCATCCCAGCGATTGCTGGATCAACCGCTGGGTCCTGGACCAAGACACCGGCGAAATTGACATAGAATAAGTATTCTCCCGACTCTTTAGTAACTCGTGTAATGTACTTCAACTGTACTTACGAATCGAATGACCTAACCCGTCAACCGGGCTATACATCTACGACATATCTGGTTGATACGGGCTGATCTGCTTCTCATTCGCACGAGGTATGGCAATCAAGAGACTTCTAAAGTTCGTGGGTGGCAATAGCAAAAGTAGACGACCAGCGAGTCACCTCACAATGATATAGCCACTTCTAGGAAATGTACAGGCATTGCCATGCATCATATACGAACTGCTATCATATCCTCGTCAAAGAATCTGGTATGTATAAGGTCATAAAGAAATATCACAAGGACCTAACACTGCGATGTCGCAGGCTCATCTGCCTCAACATTCCCATATACCCCTCCCCGTACTGTGCCCCGCTGTCAAAAAAGAGCGCCGTCCTCCTCCGCAACCGCCTTTGCAGTATGTGGTCTGAACGGGCGGTGCAGGATCTGCGAGCGTCACGCTCTAGTGTCGCAATGCATGCCCTTTCACAGCATCAGGCTACGGCCCTTCTCCTTCACGCCAGCCACCGATCCCAGCTATCGCGTTTCCACCCGGTCCCTCCCCTCCTCCCCAGCGACCCGATAGCGATGCACCAACGTACCCACGTCCACCGCACCATCGCCCTCTGGTTTCAGCTACGCGTGCCCGAGCGGCTTCGCAACCGTAGCGCAGGAGGATTAAGTGTAACATCGCCACAATAACACCGTGCGGAGGCGGACACGTTCTTCCAGTACTGGTCGTAAAACTCGATTCTCGCAAGAGTCGTCGAGACCCGCATGGGCAGTGATTCTTGTGGGGCAATTCCTTTCAGGCCCTGGTCACAGGTGCAAACGTAGTCATTAGAGTCGCAGTGAGGCCTGGTTGGCGCCGTCTAGGAACAGTATGATGTGGTGGTGGTGCGCGATAGGATGGATAGATATCCAAGCCGATGGAGGGAAGGTTGCGAATCCCTCCAGATAATTAGGGTCCGCGTCGCAGTAAACCCCATCGTTGCTAGCAGGCAGCGTCGCACGCGCAGCGAAGGACTGAATGGGAGAAAAGCAGGACGATAGGACAGAGTAGAAATGCCTCCAGGGAGAAATGATGACTGGAAGAGACGTAAGCTTATACAGACGAAAGAAGCCGATGAGGGACCTATTCATCGCGGCGCATCCAAGACGTCGGTCAGCGGAGACGTCAGACAAGGAAAACTCTGTCCAGCAAAGGCAGCCAGGCCGTAGAGGCCAAGATGATGCCGTCTCCCCTTTTTTTCTAGTCATGGGCCTTTCGTCTACGGTCAACAGTTCTTTTAAAGCGCGTCAGCTTCGCCTGTCAGTGTCCTGTGAGTCGTCATTTGGAACTACCTGATCCTCTCTTTGTATCTGTTCGCTTCCGGTCTGATCACGAAAGTCCGTCCATCTGTGCCATTCCAGGGCGGAGCACCGTACTCGTCGGGGAGCCTCTGCAAGCGCTGCGTCTGTCGTGGTCATGGCGGACATCAGCTTGGGCGCGGTGTGAGTTTACCTACAGGCACCTAAGAACCTATATTTGCGCATGCGAAAACCCGCGTAGTGCTCGGAGGATGACGAGCCGCCGGCGGTGCACGATGTATACCAAGTCAGTCGGTCGGTCATGCACCATTCATAGCTGACAGCTTTTCACTTGGTTCCGTTGAATGCGCTGAGACATGGATACGATTCATCCAAGCCAGCTTGGAATGGCACCGACAAGCTCGCACCCGTTCTACCTCCGTGCAAAAAAAAACTCTGACAGCGTGAAAATCTCGGTGCTACAGAAGACGGCATGAGTGAGAATGCGGTGTATATGTACTGTTGATGACACGGAGAAGCGTGAGATCTCCGGTGCTGTATCTAAACTGGGGAAAGGAAAGGTGGGGGAACGACGTCGAAAGCGGGAGAGACTCGGAGACTGAGCAAAGGCCCAGTACACACGAGTCACAGGAGCAGGAGTGAAGAAGATCCCAAATGAAATCTCTCGACCTCGCAGTGAGAAAATCGATGAGCAGCAGCCCCGTTCCAACTCCGAGCAGTCTCGGATAAAGTCGGCAAGTTGAAGTCGATGTTGATGAATGATGGCGCATGATTCGCAGGCTCGCGGGTCAAGACGGTTACTAAACTTGGGTCAGTCGAGCCAATACTAAATATGGACCATCCTATCCTCCCACGCGGGGGAACGATGCCCTGCCCGGCGCTCCACCCTCCCCCAGCACGCGGGGTGTACACTGTGGCGCGTCCCTGTTGCCCCATATAGTAAACAAAAAGCTTGACGGTCTGAGTAAGCAGGCGCTAGGGAGGATTAGCAAGGGTGGTATAGGACTTACTTGGGGTTGTCAAGGGACAAAGTAAGCTTGGATGGGAGTGAGAAACACCGAGAGCGAACTGTCCAATGCCAAATGTCGCGGAATTTGAAGTCTGAAGAGGATTGATTCGACAGCTGGACAGAGCTACCGGCTGCAGGGGACGATGGGGCGTTGAAAGCAAAGAGGGCAGTACATCCGGTGGCCGATATCAAAGCTTAAGTCGCTCTTGGCTTGGGATAGAACCTGAAACCACGATGAAGAAGGCAGACCAACATGACTGTTCGAGTGAGGGATGTGATGTGGTGACGTCACAGCTGGACTTAACGCTTGCCGCTGGAAGCGTGGAACTCGAACCTATAGCGTAGCCTCGATTTTAATTCAAAGGATGCGTCTTGGAGAATCGATATCATTTACGCTCTTCGATTGCGGATAACATATGGTCTATTAGCCACCTGTTAAAACCCAAAGGACCTGCCTTGGCTCTATAAGAGAGATGTGATGTGTCGATCTACCCTTACAAGGCGCAGAAATTCTTCGCGACATACCACCATTCCTCCCACGCATCCCGCAGATCGCAGACATGCTATGATTTACTTGGTCCCTCTATCAAATGAATTCTCCACGCGTTCATGGTGCTTTGTAGTCAACAGTCGCATTGGCACTTACCACGTCACTGGTGTGCGACTCGCAATGCCAACGCCGCGGAGTACTTCGCATTGTGGCTGAAATTCACGAACTGTCGGATGAGCTCCTCCTCGCTCATCTCCACTGCACGATAGAGTAGTACCACCAGGATGTGAACCCAGCACTTCATAAAAAAGATATTGCCCCCGAAAAGCGTCTGGTTATCGGTCGTCAACTCCGCTTCTCAACACGTTCACGGTCACCTTGTACTGATGAGGATGAGGAAGACAACACTCACCTCTACGACGAGTGAGTCAGATCCAGTTGGTGAGATGCTGGACGTAACCTTGGTCTGATACGATAGATGAAATCCATTCATTCAGGGCTAGGGTTATCGTGCAGAGTATAAACTCGAAGAACTCACCCGAGGCTCAAACTGTCTCCCCATGATAGATATTCCAACTCCGAATCACAATACCTGACGAGAAGATGACGCATACGCGTAACGTCGGATGTCGTGGGTATCCTCAAGGCACCTAATTAGTGTGCAGACGAAGTAGGTGATTGACGATCATGATTGTGATACGAAGAGTAACCTGAGAGTAGTTCTGAGAAGATTAACGGTAGGTCACCTTCGCACGTAGCACCATACGGTCATCGATGGATGTTATCAGCAAAAAATTCCGCGGTCCAAGTTGCGAGGAAGGTCTTGTGCGCGCGCGTCCTCTATTGATGAACACGTCATGAGACGTGAAGCTTTGAAGCCTTGACTCCATCCATAGGCGAGATCCATTTCACGAAAAGAGAGCATATGATGAAGCCGAAAGAACGTGGGCTGAAGACAAATCTGAGTGACATCGATTCTGAAGCGAAGACCGAGACGTGGAGACATAAGATCGTAGTCTGGGATGTGGGAGCTGTGTTACACGAATCAAGCAGCTCGAGCGTCGTTGTGATCAGAAATGGATGTCCACAGCGAAGAAGAAATCTAGCACACATATCAATGGACACAGAGGGAATCTGTTGAGCTTTGGTGGTGTAAGGGTAACATGGAGTCTTCCCACCAGAGAATGGCTCCGCCCGGGGTTCGAGTCCCCGCCAAAGCAAATTTTTTACATACTGCCTTTATATGTATAGTTGTTGGACCGCCGACGAGTCACCGAAGCATGCCTGATCTTCGGTCCATTATTTGCGACGAACATACGATGCCATGAAAAGGGACAGTCACTGATCTCGGGACTTGCCGGAGCCTCTTGCTTCTATACTGCTCATCTTCCTAGATCTCTTTGTTCACGGACGTCCAACCCAGAGACATCTCTACTCAGCTCGTCCAGTATGCTCTTCTCGCTTGTTTGCTCGCTGAATGAACTCATGGAAAATGACAGGTGTCAACAGGTTTACGCCACTTTTCTCAAGTAAGCTCACATACATGGCCTCAGTAAGCTTTCAAGATACTCTTATAGACGTCTCCTGAAACATTGTCAGACCACCTATAGCCCTCTATAGCGCCAACAGCACTATCCACATGTCATTGGTGACAAGTGCTAGTAACCGGATGGTCGAAGCAAAGGTCCTCAGAGCATTCCACCCATTCAGCAACTCTGCTTGCCTTCTAGTACAACCACTCCAATATGCTCTTGACCTCCCGGACAGGCTCTTCTGTAAGCTCGCTGATCGCCGCATTGGAGAGCGAACCGTGCCCTGGAGCGTCGACGTTGAGAGACAGTTCCAGAGCGCACTGGTGGACCGCCTGTACTCGAATATCGTGTCCGTTCGGAGGACGACCCGCAATGGTTCGACGAGCTCGAGCACTGGAAATACTTGAATAATGCCCGCCGCATCGAGCAGAGGGCGTACGAAGCTCTCACCGAGGCTCAGAAGTTGGGCCTCGTTCTAAAGTGCTTCGGCAGTGTGCGTATCCCTATGTCTTCTGGGTCTTCGATCCATCCAGCGCTGGACGCCATCGACGGTCTGTTGATGGAGTACGTCCCCGGTCGCCTCATGTCCTCCGTTCGCCCAGGGACCGATATTTCCATAACGGAAGGGGAGGACATTTCCCAGAGAATTCTCAATCTTGCAAGACGCCTCCGCCGCTACGGCGTGTCTCATAACGACCTGCATTCTAACAACATCATCCTTCGCCCCGAGAGCAATCATCCGGTTCTCATCGACTGGGGGGGCGCGGCGTTCGGCGCCCTGTCTGAGAAGACATTTGCAGCGCGATGGATGCATGACGAGATGCAACAGGACTTCTACTCAGACATACGTAAAATCTTGAAGCGCTCCGATGGGAACATGTGGCATCGCTTCACTACGCCTCTTTCGGATGCGGGGCAAATGAAGCGGGCTCCAGAGCGGGGATGGAAGTTCATCAACAGGCACATCGCAGATTTGCCCAAAGAACAGTTGGAGATGTTGTATGATGAGGATCCAACTGTTCAACCCGAATGTGGGCTGAGGTGGAGAGTCAGACCAGGTGTCCAAACTACCAGCATATACCTGGATGATCCAATACCACTTTACTAGGATTGTCGTTGTAGAGATTGTTGGGAAAATGATTGTTGGCAATCACTCTGTTATAATCGAAGTCCTCCTCGCCAGGCGTCCTTATGAGCCATCTGATAAACCCCCGACAGTTGAAGCGGAGGCGGAGGACGAGGACGAGAAGGATGAGGAGGACCCAGGATCAGACAGCGGGGATGGAAGGACGCCATCCTTTGAACAGAACGCCTGCCGCCGAAACTACAAAGGGGCAAGAAAAGCTTGTACTGCAGCGACGGCCATGACATCTGTCAATCTCACTCTGGCCGAACTGTAGTATAAGTTCATTTTGAAATACTGTATTTGCTGATATGACTCCCATTTTCGCGTATCTGGTAATGTAGCGATGAATGGTATGACATGAGCCGAAGATCCCCAGTCGAATGAACCAAGGATGCGGTAAAGGTAGGTAGGTAGGTAGAGTCGGCACAAGGTCCCCATAAGGAACGGCTGTTTGTGGAAATGTTATGGCGGGCGAGACCCGATTTCCACCCAGTGACTGAGCAACCGCGGGGATATCTCCGCATTTAAGAAGGTCCCAACGGACCTCTGGCCACCGGTTCAGAGAACATACTTCTCAATACCGACCTATAGTCGGTCGCCCCCGCTACGAGAGGAGAGAGAGAGAACAAGAAAAAAGGGGGTGGTCCAAAAGTAAATTGATTTCAGTCCATAGCCAATAGAGGAACACTACGGGATGTAGTCTGAATCGCTGTCGGAGTCAGCGTCCACTAACGGGGCACGAGCTGGTTGTTTTTTCAGTCCAGGTATCCTTCGGTGCCATGTGCGCACGGCAGGTAGCGGCGTTGAACATGTTGGTCGTTGAAGCTCGAATGTCTTGAAGAGTTCCATGCAATCATAGACGAGCTTTGCGACCAACGGCAGGCATACATCCTGGAAAATCAGCGCACGGAGAAGCACCAAGGCACCGGCGTTGTCCGCCGGCAGCCTGGTCAGGTTGAGGTGAGGGAGTTCCGGGTCGAGGAGAGAGATGGCGGCGACACAAATGTCCACAAGACCAGAATCACCGGTACAGATAAGGATCACGTGTTCTGGCGACTCGACAGCCAGACCACAGAGCCGGCAGAGTCGTTCGTCGCGAGGAACAAGTGGATGTGCACGATCGGCGCGTCAAAGCTGCTGCAGTGCCAGTGGGTGGTCGGAAAACAGGAGCCGGATCAGTGCGTTTCTGTGTTTGGTAACTCGGAGGTGGAGATAGTGTCGCACATAGATTGCTCGGTCAGCTGGTTTATCGGGAGGAGAGAATGGTTCCAGTCGGTTCCATAGCAGGTAGGTCTTGTAAGATGTGTCGATCTTTTCCTGTAGACCAGTCTTTGCGATATGACTAACCATCTTCATCATAGACTCCACATCAGCGGCGGTACAAGAACGAAGGTCCGCAGGTAGCACCAGAACAGGAGGCAGGTCGTCCATACCCAGGGGACGAGGTAGGGTATTCAGTACCCACTTCAAGTCACCCAGCCACGAAGGATGTTTGGCTTCTTTGAGGCGGATACAGACGTCGAGTGTCAGGCTGGCAAATACAGACAGAGGTTCGTCAAGCAGTTCTTGTAGCAAGCGGAGCGCCATCATTACTCTTCGGAAGGGGAGCGGCAGCAGGCCGAGTTCTGTGAACAGAGGGGCAGTCATGGACTGGGCATTCACACCCATCAACCGACGCAGGAACGCGAGCTGAACCGCGTACATGTCGTTTGCGACGATGTGTGTGACGTCCAGAATAACATCCGTGCCATTGATTAAGTAAGGGTCTACTTGCGCGTTATACAGCATGCGCCCTTCAATCGGCGGGAGAGTGCCAATCACTCGTTCAATCGAGAACACGGCATTGCCAGTACGACAGGCAGCACAAGTCATGTTCCTGCAGTGTTGGGCGAAGATGTCAGCCTCAAGAGAGTTGATGGTGATGCCGACATAGGTGTGTTCCACTGTGTAGCGGACAGGCTTTCCAGCGAGTGTGAGAACCGGTAAGGAGGACGGTATTTTACTCTTATGCCCAAACACCATAATCCAAGATTTCTCCGCATTGACATACAAGAAGTTCCGGCTGCACCAAGCTCTAGGCAATTAAGGTGATCCTGCAGCCCAAGCCAAGACGCAGACATCAGGACAATATTGTCAGCATGTTCGAGATGAGATACCACTGTGAGGATGAGCCTAAAGTCATCATCATGCGGGATTATCTCTAAGTCGTGCATGAACAGGATCCATAATGTCGGCGAGGCGGGGTCCCCCATAAGTACGCCCATTTGAGCGCAAAACTCCTCCGACATTGCAGTACCTTGACTAAAAATGTACACCATATCCCGATAGAGGATTTGCAACCAGTCAAAGATCTTCCCCGTGGCTCCCATCTTGTGCAGCTTGATCCATAAGGCATTGTGATTTGTAGATGGAAAGGCATTGCTAAGGTCAACAAAAGCGGCCCACAACACTTTCCCTTCAGCACGAGCTTGATCAATCATTGTGCGCAAGATAAACATGTTGTTGTTTGTACAATGTCCGGGGCGGAAGCCATTTTGGGAGGGCGGAATAGCCCCGATCTCTGATGCCCATGCATATAAATGCTTATGTGTCATTAGTGTCAGCAGCTTTAAAATGCAGCTTTCTAGACCAATCGCTCTATATCCATCAGCGCACGCGGGGTTCTTATCCTTCTTGAGAATGGCAATAATGCGCGCCGTCAGCCAGGACAGCGGCACCTCTGCCCGGTCCATACACTCATTGAATAGACCACACAGGAGCTCATTATCAATACCAAGAACTTCAAGGACTGTATGTTTATCAAAACCACAGGAGGGTGAGGCTGCATGAGTCTTAAGATGGCCTTTACCCTCACTGATGTCCTCTACAGTCCAGCAGCCACCAAACTTCGCATATGGATTATCTGGTGTCGGTGGCGTCGAGGGCAGCGGGATATCCTGAGCCTGTTGAGACACCTTATCTCTGGCCTGTTGCTCCGCAGACTCGGGGTGCACTGGGAGAGGATTCATACGCTCCTGAAAGTGCTCTGCTAAAGCACTCATAGACACCGGTGGTGGGCGCGGTTGAGTTCCGTGCAGCTTCTTAATCGTTTTCCAGAACGAGTCAGAGGACCGCGAGGCGTCTGTCAGCTCAGCCAGATTAGCGGCTTGTCGTGATCTCACTGAGTCTCAACCGCGGTGGGATTGAGTGTGAGCTGGGTCGATGTTCATTGGTGTTGCTTGCTCCTTAGACTGCTCCTGAGTAGACTGCCTCGGCTGTGTCTGCTCAGGCAGAGCTGTTCGAACCTTAGGCAGCTTCACACCGTCAACAGAGGAGTCCATCAGGCTCCCATCAGTCCAGTGTAGTGGAGGCATAGAGGGTAACGGCTCTGTCGGCATCAGAAGGGAGGCGCCTAATTTAGCTAAGCGATCAGCCTCTTTGTTTCCCATAATGCCGCAGTGCGCTTTAACATGTACCAGGATAAGTTGAGCGGAGCGCGCTCTCAGCCACGCAGCGATACTCTTGAGGAGATCCGCATTCTCACAAGTCCAGCCTGACAGTGCATGTCTCGGCGCCCAATAGA